CAAGATGTTAACTGATGGACTGGAGTGGTGTGGATTGCTTGTGGATTGTTGTGATGTTTTTATCAGCTGTTTGGACTCTCATTCTGACGGCACCCATTCACTGCAGAGGATTCACCGGTGAGCAAGTGATCTAATGCTACATTTCTCCAAATCTGTTCCAATGAACAAACAAACTACATCTTGGATGGCCTGAGGGTGAGTAAATTTTCGTACATTTTACATTTTTGAGTAAACTATTCCTTTAACATGACAACTGTTGATCCATCTTGAGTATTTTCAAACAAAAATGTCTCACCAGCGGTACATCAGCCATGGAATACACCACCACTCCTTGGTACTGCGCTGTGTTTTCTGTGATTCTCCCCAGGCCGGACTTCATGATGTGGTTTCCATACAGGAATGACTGCTCTGATCCCGGCTTCACCCACACCTTAAACTACAATGGCATACATGAGGTGCATTACATTGCATTGAAATATGATATACTGTATGCACATTCGAAGGCCTGTCGTTATTTTTTATTTGTGCCATCATTATTAATTTCTTTATTTGTTCTTATTTTATTACTGACTGCTTACTCACTTACTTGTCATTTTTTATTAAATTCAAAGTTTTAAATCAAGCTATTTCGTACTACTGCACCAAAATTACCCCACTGTAAAATAAAAAAAACACTGAGTGAGCAAAAATTTGTGAGATAGTTATAATGGTAATTAAATAATGTTTACATATGAATAAAAGCCTACATTAAAATATGTCATATAAATTGGTCTCTTCAATAGACATTAGCCTACTGATTTCCACCATTGATGGACAACATTTTTTAATAATATTAAAAATATCTGTATGACATTATATTCTGCAGTTCTTCCCTGTTGTACCGAATATCTATACTTTTCAAATTATCATATCGAAGTTAGAAATTCAAATATTGTGACAAAATTAATTTTGTAGGGTGCCACAAGTTTGTTAAAATTTCCAAAGGGTGCCGCGACTAAAGAAAGGTTGGGAAACACTGTTCTAGACAACCAGGCCAATCAATATCAAGATAAAATCAAAAAAGTTTATTTTGTAAAAAAAATGTGTATATATAGTAGTATATTTTTATTTAATGCCATGTCAGCATCTTGGGCTATTTTCATGGCAAAAACAATTTAAAAAATACAAGTATAACAAATACAATAAAAACCAGCAAACAAACAAACACAAGTTATTTTACACAAGATTTTTTACATTAACATATGATAAAAATTCTAAAACTTTTTCTGGCAAAATTATATATATTAGTGCTGTCTAACGATTAATCGCATCCAAAATAAAAGTTTGTATTTACATAATATATGAGTGTGTACTGTGTATATTTATTATGTATATATAAATACAAACACATGCATGTATATATTTAAGAAAAATATGTTATGTTTATATTAAATATAATAATATAAATGTATAAACATGTCAATATTTTCTAAATATATACTGAATGTGTGTATTTATACATAAATAAACAGTACACATAAATATATTATGTAAACAAAAACTTTTATTTTGGATGAAATCAAAACTTTGTTTAGTTTATTTTGATATTTTTTAATCACACATTAAACAAAGACAAAAACAGCCAAAAATATCTATAAATAAATACAGACATAATCAAGTCACATTTATTTATATTGTGCTTTATACAATACAGATAGTTTCAAAGTAGCTTCACACTAATAAACAAGAAAATAACAGCGTTAATATTGGAAAATACAAAATCAGAATTAATATGTACCTTAGCATATGGTGCAAGGAAATCGAGAGCTGTGATGTGCAGACGGAACTTCTGTGTTTTTGTGAACTTTCCGAAACACGTGCCAACCGACACCAGTTTATCTCTGGAGATATTTGTAGCCAACTTCAGAATTTTTTCACTAAAATGGAAAGGATCACACAATTAGATTACTATTCAATTTATAGCTAATTCATATTTACATTAGCACTACATTAAACTGGCTACAAATTAATAAGAAACTTCCACAGGAGACCATATTTAATGCCAGAATTAATAGGAATATTAAATAAAAACAGCAGACAAACCTTACCTCATATAATATACTCGATCATTATGAAGTCTGAAACAATAAGTCCCATCTGGCCGATCAATAAGAAGTTTGATATTCTCCCCAATGCTAGAAACACAAAAATTGGGAGTAACGTTACTTAATGCAACTGGTATTAAGACATACTTTAAGTCTAATTTAAAATAATCCAGGGCTACATTATGCAGCTCACATACGCAATAATTATAAATAATTATATAAATAAGAGCTGTAAATAATATTACAAAACCCATGTAAACATTGCCAAACATAATACAAATAACAGTAAAATAACACATCATATATATATATATATATATATCATACAACACAATACATATAATAAACAAAAGCCCTACAAAGATATTTCCTAATATTATACAATATACAATAATAATATAAAAATACATTTATAATACAAAATAAACAATACATCTGAAGTGTGTAGAATAGTTTAGCTTATGGTTTTTTACACATGACATGACGACGCAATCAAGCTAAACTTTTGTTAATACATTCCTGCTCTAATTGAGTTTTACCGAAACATGTCACTTACTATTTAGAGAGTTTCTCAAACATCGTTTTTGTCTCTTCGTCTGTCAACGGACGCATGATGAAAATAATAATTATATTCTTGCTAAAGAAGCTCGAAAAACACTGCAGCTCTCGCAGTGCACCAGCCACGTGTGTTGAGTTCAGTCCGTCGCACACAAGTGACGTCGTGCCGTTTAAATAAAGTTTTTTGTAGGGTTTTGAATCAACAACGCTTCGATCATGGCCGCCGTAGACGTGGAAGATGAGAGTATCCTGGCCTCGATCTTCAAAGACAGCTTTCCTGAGAACTGGAGAGAGAAGCCGGACTTCGCGGCGTATTTGTCGCAGCTGAGCTCGTGCGGTGTGGACGAGTTGAACAGGGAGCCCGAGCGTCTGGCGGAGGAGCGGGCGCAGATCCTGCAGCAGACCCGAGAACTGGCCTTCACCAACTACAAGACGTTCATCAGGACCGCGGACTGCACGCGGCACATCTACACTGACTTCAGCACGGTGGAGAACTGCCTCTCTAAACTACTGCACAAACTCCCCAGCTTCACTGAGAGATGCAGGTCTGTGCTTCACTCGCTCTGTGCAGAAAATAATGGACGAAGTGAGATAGATGATTGACAGATTAGTTCCGACAGGTTATGTGTTTATTTATCGCAAGCCGTTTTGACATTTAATCTATAAGCCGTACTAGTATCTGTTTTCATGCTACTAGTACTTATTATTGTTAGGTGCTATTACCTTTTCATTACGTACTAGTACTTATTCATTAGATTAGATACTAGTTCTTATTTATTAGATACTAGTACTTATTCCAATAGTGACTAGTATTTAAATATAATTTTCTTGTTAAGAAAAAATAGAACTAGTACTTACTTATTACAGAAAATAATGGATGAAATAAAGATAGATGATTGACAGATTACAATTCAATATTTTACAGGTAATGTGTTTATTGATTTGATGGTGTATTTATGTTTGATTTAACTTTATCTTATTAATTTTAGTGCTGTCAAACAATTAATCGCGATTAATCGTAGTGCTGGGCGGTATACCGGTTCATACCGAATACCGGTGTTTATTTTTGTTATGATATGAATTTTTAAAATACCGCAATACCGGTGTATGTCGCTTAAACAACGTTCGGAACGCGACACTGTTTGAAAGAGGTCCCTTTTCACTGTCGCACTGTGTTGAGGGAACAGCTGTATGTGTTACTAAGCGTGAAAGTTCCGAAACTGAAGCTGTACAACTAATAGAAGACTTACGACTGTGCTGCCCTATTGGACTGGCACAGGAAGTTAGCAGATGTGTTGAGGAAGCCCTTATTAAGGTAATTAATTACATTAATAATATGTTAGAAATATATACTACAGGCAAGTTTTTTTTTTTTTTTAGAAGAAGATTCTTATGGTCATCAAGGCTGCATTTATTTGATCAAAAATGCAGTGAAAACAGAAAAAAAAAAGCTGTTTTCTGTTTGTATATTTTTTTTAATTCAATTTATTAATGTGATCCAAAGATGAATTTTCACCAGTCTTCAGTGTCACATGATCATTCAGAAATCATTCTTATAAACAGATTTGGTTATTTAACAATTTTGTTTTTTGGAAACCATGAAACATTTTCTATAGGATTCTTTTCCTGGTACTTTTGATCCATTTAATGCATCCTTGATAAATAAAGGCCTATTCACACAAAGAACGCTAACTATAAAAGTAACTTTAACAATAACTATATTACCGTCGTTATGTTTATTATAAGCATGCTCTGTAGTTTTGTAATCTGTCACTTTAAATGCTCAAGTTCTGTAAAGCAGGATGGATTCTGATTGGCTGTCAAGGTTTTTTATCTCTTGGAAAAAAAACACTCTGAAAGTGATTCCAACTTATTGTTCCAATATTGTATTCCAGTATCGTTCCTCTTTGTCGTTATTGTTATAGTTGTGATGTGGACTTCCATGTTCTCACAGAATTAGAAAGGTTTTTTTACTTTTTATAGTTACCATACTTGGTGTGATTTTTAATCATTTCTTTAAAACAAAAGATTAGCTGAATTCAAATTGACGTTGAAAAGATGTAGACATTTTTACTTTGTTTCCTTGAACAATTATTCTCCTGTTTTGACACATTCTGATGTAACAATAGGTGACCAAGCTGATCCTGGTTTTCCATCGAGCTGAGGAATCTGCCTTCAGTAGCCGTGAACGAGAGTTATTCGTTCAGTTCTGCAGTGCATTTGCTGAAGACATGGTGCCTTTCTTGAACCGATGTTTACAAGTTCTCTTTCCTCCAGCCCAGCTTGCTCTCATACTGGGTAAATATCCTCAGGATAACTTTTTTTTTTGTCACATTCCAGAAATAAAACCGGTTGCAAACACCTTGACTTAAAAGCTTATCTTGTGTTTGTATTGTAGGCGTTCCGCCAACCCAGGTTTATAAGTATGGCAGTCTTGGCTGCATCAATGTGAACGCGGTTCTGGAGCCGCTGGAGTTTGTTCTGCCCCAGAAGGAGCCCGAGCCCGTGACCTCTGTCCTGGAGCTCTGCACTGATCTGAGCAGCCTGACCACAGCTGAATCAGATCCCTCGCCTGCACTCAAACCCATAACACCTCAAGAAGAAAAACCTGTATTATCTGAACAACAAGAGCCTGTGTCAGCATCTGATCCTCGTCTTTCTCAAAAAGAGAACATTTCTGCTGAATCAGTCAGTACCGAGCAAAACAACCCGATCCTGGAGCCTGAAATGACCTTTGATGTACAGGACTTGACAGGACCAGATGATTTGTCCACAACAGATGTTAATGTTGAGGAGATGTTGTCAAAATAAAAAAAAAATACACTACATGCAATGTGTTGTTAGGGGTCCTAAAAATTAAGCTTTGTTTTGATAGCAAATAACCATCTGGACATACTTTTACCAGGCCTTGGTTTGCATTTTTATTTGCAGCTCTATTTGGTGAAGGTAATAATGTAATATATGATGTAATTAAATATGGTATAATATATTTAAAATTGTGAAAAAAAATATGTTCATTGAATCACATGTTTTCTATGACTTACAGAGGTCCCAAAAGGTATTTGGACCCTTAAGTCACACTTAAACTGTCTGAATGTCATTGTGTTAAATAATAAATGCCACTTCTGTTGATTTTATTAAAAAAGAAAGCTGCACTTTTAAGCAAAACATTTTACAAGATGATGACATGATAAACTGTTGAGAATGAAGACAAAATAATTCTGTTTGAGGAACATTTTTATTTTGGGGTGAAACTATCCTTTTAAGTTTAATTTAAGTGTAACCTTTGTGGCATCTGTATGTTCTTGTAATTGGACCATGTATTGCATTTGACTTCTGTTGTATGTTTTTTGTTTGCTCCTATTTTCCAGGATGTTTTTAGGGGGGGAAAGGTTTATTAAAAAACTGGATAAAAATATTAGGCTGCTTGTTTCTGATATTTTGATATTCTTTATATTGAGTCAAAGGTGTTCTATTTTTCCCCCATAAAACCTTTAGCAGTCTGCATGGAATCGCAGATAGTCTTTGCAAATTGTGTCTTTTTATCTATAATCACAAACAAAAATAAGATTTCCATATCACAATTTCAACTGGCACAAGGGTAGAATATGGAAAATATTTTGTAATATAGAGTTAAACTTAAGGTCAAGTGGATCATTCAAATAAATCACCATAAACATTTTAATTCCATCAAGAATTCAATGTTTCAGGCTTCCAGTCCAGATTCTGCAGGTAGTGTGAGAACACAATCACTTCTTAACAGATTTTTTGCGTGCTGCGTTAGGATTTGTTCGCCGTCTTCCTCCTCCGGTCTGGGCGTCCCGCAGCTGTAAGCTGGCTGACCTGCTGTAGATATCATGCTCAGAGAACGGAGAGCTGCCGGCCAGGTAATCTGGGTCAAACACATTAGTCTTCTGACGAGCCTTTTTAGACAATCTCTGCTGGGGGAAACGCTGATCGTCCACCAGGTGTGGGTTGTTGGCGTGTTTTCCTCCTTGTGGCAAAGGTAAAGAGTACTGCAGAGGATGAGAGAAGAGACAAACCATAAGTACATGATCACTAGCGTTGATTTATATGACACTACTCATGCAATGCCTTCCAAATACATAAATGGAGCCAAATTTCTAATGCATTTAGCTCATAAATAACTTTTAAATATACTGTCACAGCATCCAAAGCATTACTCACTCTCTTCCCCTTTAGATTCAGCACTTTGGGATTCCTGGAAAAATGCATCTGCATGGTGCAGTCCTCATTCATGCTGACTGCAACCTTCTTCAAGGTGTCGTTCCCACAATTTGGACAGAAAGATTTGTTCATGTTTGTTGTTGTCCTAAAAATATGGAAACAACAAGTGTCCATATAACACACATCACTTACGTGTAATTATTCCTGCTCCAAAACGTATTATTTTGCACGGTGAATCCATCACTCACTTGAAGCAGGCATGACAGCGCAGAATGTAACTCCTGGTGTTTTTAATAAGCATGCCATTAACAGACAGCACATGCAGTCCGATCTGAATCAGAACATTCTGTCAGGAAAACAAAAAGACATTAGGTGTTTGTTACAAAATAATGGACATAACTGACCATATTTGCTTAATGTGCATGATTAAAGGAATCATTTTGCTTTATGCTACTTGCTCACAAATGGATCCTCTGCAGTGAATGGGTGCCGTCAGAATGGAAGTCCAAACAGCTGATAAAAACATCACAATAATCCACAAGTAGTCCATATGCCTCCAGTACATCAGTTAACATCATGTGAAGTGAAAAGCTGTGTGTTTGTAAGAAACAAATCCATCAAGGCGTTTTTTGAGTTCATAATCCATAACACTTCCTCCAGTGAAAAAGTCCATCTCCTGTTGTCCTCTCACATCAAAACCCTCTGACATATTTGTTTTGAACTGTTTTTGCTTGTAAACTCTGCTTGAGCGGTTTATATATCTCTTCTGATTCAGATTGAAGATTAACTTTTTCACTGGAGGAAACAATATTATGTATAGAGGACTCGTATTCTAGATGGAAGCAATGATTTGAAGTTAAAAACATCTTAATGATAGATTTGTTTCTCACAAACACACAGCATTTTGCTTCACAAGACATTAATTGTTGGACTGGAGTGGTGTGGATTATTGTGATGTTTTTATCAGCTGTTTGGACTCTCATTCTGACGGCACCCATTCACTGCAGGGGATCCATTGGTGAGTAAGCAATGTAATGCAAAATTTCCCCAAATCTGTTCTGATAAAGCAACAAATTCATCTACATCTTGGATGGCCTGAGGGTGAGTACATTTTCAGCGAATTCTCATTTTTGGGAGAACTATTCCTTAATTCCGTGCACATTGTTTTAATGAACAATAATTGCTCATTTTCGTAATCTAACATCTTTCTTAGCTTTTCTCTGCTAATGTAAACAAGGTTCACGATTGAGACACAGATTCCACATAAAATCTGTGGAAAACACGTTTTAATAGAATGTTTCCAATGTGACCACAAGTACCTGCATGGCAAAGTCAGTGGTCACGCAGCCCACTTTGACATCTGCTGTCGGTCCCCAGTTACCAGCATCCATCTGGACTTGCTTTATGTTGCTGGGAGTAATCCAACCTCCACCATCATCACCATCCTCCTCCTCATCACTGCTTTCTTCTTCTTCCTCATGTTGGTCTTCATTTGAACCATCATGTTCTTCAGATTCAGCCAGCTGACTGTCAGCGGACAGGTCAACAGACTCTAGTTTGTCTGTGACTGTGATGGCATCTGCAGCCTAGACAGAAGGAAAGAAAGAAGGAAAGTATGATTTTTTTTGGTCTAAAGTGACTGTGGCAGCAGTTTGGATGTTGTCGGACTCCTCACCAGCAGTTCCAGAAGGTCAGTCTCAATGCTGGGCAGAGGACTCCTCCAAAACTGAAAGCTGTTGAATTGTGAACTATTGGGGTCTTGTGACTCGTTTGTTGTAGGTGGGCTTTGGACAACGGTATTTGGATTATTTGATGACTTTTGGAGAAAAGAAGCAGAAACTAATAGGTGCCCTTATTAATGCCGTCTATGTATATTTGCTTTTTTTCTATAAAAACACCTGCATCAAACTTGAAAAAGCCATGGATATTCATTTACAATAATATTACTCAAATACAATACTTGCATTTGCATGTAATTTCTTACTTTTGATGGAAAATGGAAACCTGCAATGCCAACATGAGTCTCTGGATGTCTCTGTGTACTGCATATTTGGACCTGAAATGCAAACAGATAAATAACAATGTTGAAAAACAGATGAATGTGAATTAAGATCTGAATTAATCAATCAGCAGTACCTTTTTCTCAGGTTCTTTCTTCAAATGCTCAGTTCCCACATTCTCGGTTTCCAGTTGATAAGTCAGAGCCAAGACCTTGATGTCTGTGGCTGAAAGACTGGGATAGTCTCCTGTCTTTTTAGCAAATTCTGTAACTGTGATTCAAAGTAAATGAAAATTTTTGCGTAAATCATCACCCATAATACACTTTCAGCATTCAAACAAAGACATTCAACATAAGACGCATTAGTAATAGTATAGGTTATTATTACCAAATCTTACGTGCTCTGGAAAGGGTTCTTTGAAATTGAGCTTGTATGGCAAAAAAGCCAAACTCCTTTTTGTTGGTTTATCCCGAATTTCATCAACAACATCCTTCAGGGTATAAATGTTCTTTCCAATTTCCTAAAACAAAATAAATAAAACACACACACACAAAAAAACATGTGGTAACAGACAAAATGTTCTAGTTTCACAAAAAATTTGTATATATATTAAAAATATCAAATTATAAAATATTATTAATGACTGAATGAATTGATGCACCATGGTAAACTGTACTCCAAACCACTTAAAAATACACCAAGGTACTACAAGGTAGAAAACGGTAGCGCACACAAAAAAAACAACAAAAAAAAAACATGTGGTAACAGACAAAATGTTCTAGTTTCACAAAAATTTTTATATATATTAAAAATATCAAATTATAAAATATTATTAATGACTGAATAAATTGATGCACCATGGTAAACTGTACTCCAAGCCACTTAAAAATACACCACGGTACTACAAGGTAAAAACATGGTAGTACCATGGATTTTTGTCAGTGTGTCGCCTTTATGTAATCAAATACACCACAATCGTGCCTACATACAAACTATTAATTATTTATTCAAACTCCACTACACCGCAGTACAGTACACGTGTAAGTTCTGTCATTTATCCTGGTGTCAATAAAACTCACATTTCTGAGCAACAGTATTAAAATAATCAAATCAGAAGCCAGCGTCATCAACAATAACTCACTTGCAGAGGAGCCCTTTTGAGAAAAGCGCCAGCATCTGCCACAACATGCTCCACCACGGTCTCCACCATCTTGGCAGTAGGATAGCAGCAGCAGCTGACACGAGTTCTCGCGAGATGACACTGTCGTCCAGTCCGGTCAATGTCACGTCATTTGTTGACGTTCTGATGGGTGAAGAAGATGGCGGCCCGCTGGAGCAGTGAGAATGTGGTGGTGGAGTTTCGAGATGCACAGGTACACAGTCACTACACCTGCATGCATGCATTACATGCGTTAGAGAAGTAGTTTTCACAAGCACTAGAGCAATAAACGTGCACAGCTGTCATGTCAATACTGAGCAACGTCTATTAAACTTTGAATTGAATTACATTCTTTGTTTATTAAGGTGTTACCTCACAAACCTAGCATTGTAAACATAGTATTTTCAGTTATTATTAGTATTACAATAAACATGTTAAAAAGAAATAAAAACCTGGGAAATTATATGGGATATCTTGAATAACTGTGGTTTAATGTACATATATTATAATACATTGGCTTCAGAAAGTATATGGGCACGTAAGATAACTTAAAATGTCTACCATGGCATTGGATATAAACTATCAAATCAAGTGTAATTTATTTTTTAAAAAGATAGCACAGTTTACAGTGTATCTCAAAGTATATTTGTTTTATGTTTACAAAAACCGAGCCAGAATATGCAGTTACACTAGACAATAACAATGCAATGGAATACAATACATTTAGAAGGGTAAAAAGAATGTGTTGTGTAATGACAGACTTTTCTGTTTTCAGGCTACTGCAATGTCAGTGGACTGTCTCGGCCAGCACGCTGTTCTCTCTGGGTTTGTGCAGCCTCGGCTAATGTCACATCCTCATGTGGAATTTTAAACACACCCTCACGCACCATCTGTAGCTTAGCTCTATATGCTGCATCTACATCCTGTTTCTTATCTGTTTTTCATTTTGCAAATGCTTTTTGCATGCATAATTATACCACTGTCTATTTACTCTTTCACTTGTGAATGCTTTGAACAGGAGGCGATTCTTATATGTTGTAAATTTGGAGACGCCGTCCGAGGCTCCACGCAAAATCAGCCGCCAGAGCAAATGGGATGTTGGGACAGTCCAGTGGAATCCGCACAAATCCGAGGCCCATTTATTTGCAGCATCTGTACGTAAAGAAGATATTATCCTCTGCTGATTCACGACACTGTCATATTTATTGTTTCACATGCATACATAATATTTACTTAGTAACAATTTACAGTAAGTTTCCTTTAGTTAACATTAGTTGATAGTGCTGTCAAACGATTAATCGCATCCAAAATAATTGTTTTTGTTTACATAATATATGTGTGTGTACTGTGTATATTTATTATGTATATATAAATACACACACATGCATGTATATATTTAAGAAAAATATGTTACGTTTATATTATATCATATATTTATATATGATATAATTTATATTAATCAGAACACACACATATTATGCAAACAAAAACTTTTATTTTGGATGCGATTAATCACGATTAATCGTTTGACAACACTAGTAAAAATACATTTTGTCATCTCCGCAGAGTAACCAGCGTGTCGACCTGTACTCTTGGCGTGATGGATCCGGTGAACCACATACGTCTTTGCAAGGCCACACACGTGTTATAAGGTAACACAGATGGCGTTAAGCTGAAATGCAACTTAAAGGGGTCATATGATGCTGCTAAAAAGAACATTATTTTGTGTATTTGGTGTAATGAAATGTGTTTATGTGGTTTAAGGTTCAAAAAACACATTATTTTCCACATACTGTACATTATTGTTTCTCCTCTGGCAGATCTCATGTTATGAGAAAATATTTTTTCGCGAGAACAATGATCAATGATGCGCACTTACTTCGATATTATGGCGGACACTGCTGGAGGCCTATCTGTTTTCACTCAAAATAGCTAAAAGATATTCACCTTTTCAGCAAAACTGCATAAATTTAGTTTGATTTGAATTGTTTAAAACTATTGAAATAGGCTACTATTTGGCCAGTGTTAAAGAATGAGATCAACTCTATTTCTAAAATATTTATCTGATAACTATTTTAAACAGTTTTTGTTTTTATCTTTATCTATAATTCTAATAAAACATAACATTGGATGTGGATG